TTTAATCATGATCCAAACAAAGATGCTGCATACATGCAACATGAGCAGTTTTTAATCTAAATTACATTGTATAATTTCGAAATCTGAAGCAAAAACAGAATGGTTTGACTTCAGTTTTGTGAAACTATAAATAAAAATATCTGCATGAAACAGAGGGCGAGCTGAATGAGACGCAGATTCACTCTCTGCCAGCAGGTGGTGCTGAAAGCGTTTCCTGGTTTCTGCTGTAAACAAAGCAGCGCTGCAATTATGAACTTTAATATGCATTATACAGAGGCAAGAGGAAAAGAAAAAATACCATCGAAAGACAGTAAGTTCTCCTCAGACATACATTCATATAAACTCCTACCCCTAATTGAATCGCGATTTGTTTAGCATCTCAACCGATTTGAATCGTCACATATTTAAATCAATTTTTAACCGGCTCGCGTTTAATCGTTACATCCCTAGGGGATATTATAGCACATTTCTTAACCGCACCCCTCACAAATTTTCAAACCCTGGCTACGGCCATGAACATATGTAATAATGTTATATAAATAATCACAAAAATGATTCTTTATACAGTGAACATTTTAATATGCCTTTAAAATGAAATTTATGCATAACATTATGTATATCAGGATACTTAATATAAGACAAAAATAAATATTAGGTCACGGTTATATCCACGGGCGCTGCGGATAATCCGCGGGTCGGGTAAAAAAAATGCATTCTGATTATTTGTGGGTGGGTCGAGGGTGGATAAAATAAATCAAATGATGCAAATATTAACTACCTTTTTTAAAATAAATTTTTTCATCAGGCAGACGATGTGTGTGTGTGTTCGCCTGATCGGGAAGTTGCAGTGACAGAAACGGTGACATTCCAGATAAAGTTTGAATTAATTTATTCCTGTAATGGCAAAGCTCAATTTCCAGCAGCCATTACTTCGGTGTCACATGATCCTTCAGAAATAATTCTAATATTCTGACTTGGTGCTCAAAAAACATTTCTTATTATTATCCACGTTGAAAACAACTGTTACCTAATATGTTCATGGAAATGTAATAGAAAGTAGAAAGTAATAAAAATACTAAGAAGGAAAAGGAAAAAAAAGAGTAAAGTCATTTCTTTAAAAAAATAAATAAAAGTCTGACCCAAAACATTTGAATAGTAGTGTATATAATTAAAGATATTTTTAAAAACTAGGCCGGTTGCAATAATCAATATATCGACTTATCGCGCAATATATCTTTATGGCCTCAATCATTTTTGGTGATGCAATACATTGCCCATTATATTTACTTAAATTAATGTCACCATGTTTCGTACATTCCACTTGCGCCTGTGTCTTTTGCAGCTTCTCGTATATAACATGTAGTCATGAGGTGACTACACCTCGTTTTATTTTATTTTTTGTACTTTTATCCACACTTTTTGTTAGAAAATGTTTATTTACTATTTATTCAAGTCTTTTAAGGTATCTAATATATTGATACTTAATTTCCATGATCTAAATATTCTTAAAAATTTAAAGTTTGTTGTCATTTGGAAGTGTGTAGGCCTTCTTGCATTATTATGCTGCTACATTATGATTATATATTCAGTGGCATAAAATGGTCTTTAAAATGACAATAATATCGCTTATCGCAATTATTTCTGGGGCAATATATCGCACAACAAAAAGTTATCGTGACAGGCCTACCTGTAAATACAATAAAACAAAATGATTCATCTCATGAGTTAGATGACCACATTTAACATATAATAATAATATTAAATTTAGTACATAACTCAAAAATAGTTAAACATTTCATTTTAATATCTTGTTAAATTCAATCCCCAAAGTTTAAAAAAAAAACCTGTATGAAAATATAATAGCATAGAAGTGAAAGTTTGTTTCTGCAATAACTAAGCCAAAATCATACGAAAATTATAATTGTAAATTGAGATCTCAAATGTTATTTGAGAAGAAATGATGACTGAAGACTATGGTAAAAGACAACCTAACACTCTTGCTTTTGGCATGACATAACCCAAACATTTCATTCATTATGATATCCTCAGGAGTGAGCACTGACAGTTAAAAAAAAAAGATGTGATGATATGACGCATGACTGAACAGGGTTGATCTTAGCAGAACGCAGCAGACTTACAGTCAAGAACCATTTTCAGCCCATGCAGAAGAGTTAATTTGGCCACACTTATCCACACTAAAATAAAATATGTGGAAGGGCAATAGAGCAGCCGACTCCACCTCACCTGAGTTAAGGATTTGTACAATATGAGCTCATTGTCATAAGGGCATAAATGAACATTATCTATACTCTGACTTAGGGCTGCACGATTATGACAAAATTCATAATCGTCGATTATTCCCTTGAAATTGTAATTGCGATTATTAATTACGATTATCACAATTTACATTGAATGATGTTTATACCATTGTTTGATGCAACTGCACGCCGTATTTTTTATATGAAAATAAACAAGCTGAAAACACTAACTGAAAAACCTTTAGTGCTTTTCTATACTATTAAGCCAAATGTCAAATATACATCGGAATGGTTTCTTCTTTAAATTATAAAAAAAGTTAAAATATGAATGGTATTATAATGTTATACTAAAACAATGGAAAAACCCTTAAGATAACATGTAGAAAGAAAAAAAACATATCTTAATTGTGCAGAATAACATAAGTGGACTTTGAACGATTAATTGCCGCTTTGAACGATTACGTAATTGTGGCATCTATAATTGTAATTGCGATTAGAAATTCGATTAATTGTGCAGCCCTACGACGGCTGAGGAGTATAAATAAACAGCAAGCAGCCCTGGGTCCACAACACATGCTGGGAATAGTGACAGTAAGCTGGGTACGAGCACTAAGAACAGATTAGGCAAAGCCTTTATTAGCCAGGGATTCCAGGTTCAGAGTCTGTTTATTTAGGGACTCC